TGTGTTTAGAAAGAAGCATGAGATTTCAGTAAACTCTTGTACAGGCTCTATGGGATCCAAGAAGAAGATTTGGTAGAAGCAAGATAATGAAATGCCTTGTTGGTAAATTGATTTAAATTACTCAGCCTTGTGGATTAACCATATAGTCAGTTTTATGAGTTCTTTAATTTTTTTGTTCGTTTGTGTATTTGAATTGATTTGGAAATTCTTGTAAAAGTGACATGTTTTTTTTTTACAAAAAACAACCAAATTTCATTAGAAAATGACAGATTTTTTAAAAATGAATTTTTACATGTTGATTTTAAGAAAAGTGACAGATTTCTTTTATTTGTTTTGGTTTCTCTACAGAAGCTAGCGCAGATGCAGATCCTAAGAACAGGAAAGCAGCAGGCATTATGCTCTTGACTATACTACCCTTCATTATGATCACATTTTCAGAGATTTATGATTCACAATCTTGGAGAGACATTATCGGATTGATCACACTGATAGTCTCTGGTTCTGCAACTCTTGCCTATTTTGTTTATTCGGTATGAACCGTATGATCCAACCCGAAATGAAGTAGATGTCCAAAAATGACCAATTTATTCCCTTTTCTGCCTAATCTTTAATCATTTTTTTTTTTTTTTTGTCGAAACTCGCAGTATTTTGATGAAGATGACCAAGAGAAGAGCTTGGATCATGCAAAGTTTGAGCTTATGTCAGAAGTTCATAAGCATTTGCAGATCTTTTCACCTAAAACCCTTTTAAGAGATGGACAACTAAGTAAAGAGAGCTTGAAAAGGTTTGTTTTTCTTCCAATTTTAGGCAACAATTGTTTCATTTATCTCACTTCTGTATATATCCTTATTTTTGTCATTTTGTAGATTGTTTGATAGATTTGATGTAAACAAAGACGGAAAGATCCAAAAGTCTGAGTTGGAAAATATGAACTTTGAGTTTGAACAGTTGGGAGGATTGAAGTTTAACACACAGGAGCTTGCTACGACATGGATTACGTATTTCGATGATGGTGACAGAGACGGTGAAATAGACGAGAGTGAATTCGAAAATGGAATTTCTAAATGGTTAAAACAATACAAGTTAACCTTCGATAGCAAAGAGTGTTGTGATGAGAACCCTTCAGTAAGTAAACAAATCTTTCGTAATTTTATATGAATTATATCAG